ATTATCCCTTTGGCAAGCTCAGGGCAGTTGTCCCAGCTATGTGCTTCCCCCAGCTTCTTGTACTCCTGCTAACTGGCAGAGCTTGGGAAGACAAAAAGTCCTTGATTTAGAGTAAACACAACTTAGTAACAACTAAAACATCAATACATTATCAACATTATTCTCATACTAAATCTAAAACAAACACTGTGCCAGATAGTAGGGAAAAAAACAAACTCATTCTCAGCCAAACTCAGCATGAATGGAGAAATTCAAGACTTTCCTACAAGTATCAGAGATTTCCAGAGGCTATGGCATTTGTCATTATTTGTAGTTTAGTTTCCTTCTTGTGGATATGGGACCCTAAACTGCACTGCTTCAAAGGCTTGTGTACATTACCATTCTGTCAGCAGCATGATGAAAATAAAACTGTTCTCTTACACTCAGTGACACAGGGAGCATCTTAGCCATGCCCCTGAACTGTCACTAACATACTGACTGACACCATTGCATTTGCAGTGTTGGCAGAGACATAGATTACTTCTGTCAATTTAAGCATGAAAGCTGAAATTCTTTTCTCTTGAACTTGTCCAGACTAAGGACTATAGATAGGGGCACTCTTTAGAAATGCCTTTCTTCAGAAGAATGGGTCAACACCTGGACATACCTGTGTTTCTCTGTTGGCTGCAGAAGAAGCTTAGATCCAGAGTTTACACAAGAGGCAAAACTTTGAGGTGAGATCTTGAGGTAAGAAAATGAATCTAAGCTTGCAAAAATGACCTGTGGTATTTCAATTACATTAATATTAGTTACTGATGATGGAGACAGAAATGTAACAAGAACACACTGAGATCATGCAGCAATAGCTGGATTTTATTGTTGGCTGCCTTTTATAGGGGCTTCAAATTTCCATTGGCCAATGATATGGATGTATTCCATTTGTGGTTCAGATTCCAGTTTGAACTGGAATCTGACCTGTCAGAACTGCACCTGGGGGCTTGTTTAGTTCCACTCTCTGATGAACCAGGTTGGTTGAGTTGGTGTCCCCTATGCCAAATTATCTGGGCAGCTATAGACCAGCAATAGCTGTCACAGTTGCCCCTTGCTGTTTTAAAAAAATGCAAAGTGTTCTTTGTCATCCTTCTGCAGATGCCTTGCAGAGAGGATGACAAGACAGCATGATTGATGCCTTAGGTTTTAGTTTCTATATTTTTCAGATTCTGTGATGCTTTAGTGTGTAGTTCTGAGCTTCATATTAAGGGATGGTAAGCTCTCTTCAGAGAGTAGCTAGACAAAACAATTCCTTTTCTAGGTGGGGACCAAGGACAACCGATCCAAGTTTCACGCCCAAGAGCATAAACAATGGTGGACTGAAGAGAGAAAAACAAGAAGGATGGGACTTCATGGGCTAAAGCTATAACTGGACAATTAACTCCAATATGCTAATGAACCAGAACTTATAAAAATGAGAGACCTCATGACCGGTTGTCCATTTTGTGTCCATTTTGGGTTCATCTTGGGTGTAGCCCTGGCCGGGCTCTTGTGCTGCCCAAGGTGTATCCATTGAGTCCTTCTAATGAGCACCTACTTTATTCTTTAACCCATCTAGCCTCTGTTCTAGGTCAGCCTTCACAAGGCATCATGATGACACCGGTGATTTCACCCAACTCGACACGCCTAGCCTCTCCCAACCAGTGATACATCCTATAAATGGTTGAAGTTGTCACATTAATTCCCAGGAACTGTCAGGCAGAATTACCAACAATAGAAGTTCTCAAAATGGTATGCCGCAGGCTTATTACTTGGAAGTTACAAACCTACAACTTAACTCTACAAACAGGAAACATTTCAACTTTAGAACCATGGGAAAACCAGCAAACAGGAGAAACCGTCTGTCTCAGTTCAGGTTTGTGTTCCATATCCTTAAATAGATAAAATCTTCAACTCTTCATATCTTTAAATATATAAAATCCTTCTAATAGTGCCAAGTGATTTAGGGTATTGACAGTACCAGGCATTTCCCTTTCTTTCTGTTTAAAAATAATATATTTTAAAGTGCCATGAGGGGAATACCAGTGTGTAACACACCCCACAGCTGTAAGAGTAATTTTGTGTTTAGTGAGGTATACAACTGCTTTTGAAGTTACCACTTTCCAAACAGATTTAAAATTATCAAAGGAAATGTCCCGTGTCTTAGTTAGGTTTTACAGGTCACATATTGGTATATTATTAAAAATGACATATCCTTGTGTTTGTAATGTCCTTAAAATATTTGATTCTCAAGGTTTTTGAGTAAAGTTGTAAGTGAACCATACTGAGTCATGGACTGTAAGAGATGACACATTGCAGGTTTTCTGGAGGTTAGAGGAACTGGTATTAATTTAACATAATCTTGGTGATTTGTAGAGGTGGTGAACACACCATTGCTCTACAGTGAGACTCCTTGATTATAAGTGACACTGGGTAATTCTGATTTTTATGTGCACTGGTTTTATGAAACATCTCAAGAGTAGAACTTAATTTTTTCCATTACTTCAGTGGATCTTCACTGCAGCAATGTAAGACCTTTTTCTTAATGAAAGGAAATGTGATTAAAAGATAATTGCAAAAGAATAACCAAAATTAAAAACTGTGAACGAATAACAGAGCTGCAAGGTGGTTTTTAAAATTTAATTTTTCTCAAATTGGCTGAATTGCCAGCTGGTAGTCCTCATGTAATGAAAATATTGAGATGGGTTTGGTAGAATAAGCTTCCCTAAGCTTGTTCAGCAAATTAGTTTAATAACTGTATTTCTGAAGCCATAATAATCCATGAATGCCTGCAACAATTATTATCTTCATTATCATAATAATTTTTGCTGTTACAGATAGCTATATTGAAGACATAACTTCTAAAATCACAGTGGTCATTCTCATAAGTTCAGAGATTTGTTTCCACTTAACAGTCTTAAGTTTAGGCATTTTTTTCTGTGTTTGAAACCCCAGCTGGCACTGGATAGATCATTGCAGAGTAAAAGAGTAATGCAGGAATACAAATAGGCACTGCTGAAGTCCTCTGAGCAAAAACCTGGGGATGGGGAGGCAATGCTTCTTAAACATCAAGACTCAAAGTTATTATCCTATTCTCTTGCTTCCCTTTCTTTTGATCCTTTGTGGCCGCTCATTATTCCTTTTGTGGCAGAGTACTGAAGCAGACATGACACATTGTACACTGGGGAACACTTAGGACTTATGCAGGGCAACATAACAACACAGTGGTCACTAAGACTAAGAGTTCCTGGATCTACAACATTCATTTCACTGTCGTTTGTTGGTGGCACAGCATCCTTCACGCTCACTCAGCCACAGAACTCAGCAGTCAATCAGTTCAATTGAAAAGAAGACCCACCAACAAAACCATCAATGGTTGGGTTTGCATAATTTTAAAACCTTTCAGGCAAATGCAAGTGTTTGCAGTAAGCAAGAATACTGACCAGATAAATTGTCTTGTTTAATGTAATGTTACACGTCTCTTTCCACATGAAGTGTTTTGTTGGGTTTGTGTGGCTGAGTTTTGGCAGTGGGAGGTTACAAGGATGGCCTCTGTGAGAAAATGCCAGGAGCTTTCCCTCTAAGAAGGGGAAAAAAATTATTGTACAGATGTAATTGCAGACAGAGGAAAGAGGAGTAAGAATATGGAGACTGTAAGGTCAGTAGAGAAGGAGGGGGAGGAGGTGCTGCCGGGGCAGGAGCTGAGATTCCCTGCAGGCTGTGATGCAGCCCATGGTGAAACAGGCTGTCCCCCTGCAACACATGGAGGTCCATGGGGATGCAAAGATTCACCTGCAGGCCATGACAGAGATTCACACTGGAGCAGGTGCCCCAGACAGGGCTGTGAACACTTGGAAAACCTCTGCTGGATCAGGCTCCAGGCAGGACCTGCAAATCTGTGGGGAGAGGGCTCCATACTGGAACAGGTTTCTGGTAGCAGTTGTGGGTAGCAGTTGTGGTCCTGTGAGGGACCCAGGCTGCAGCGGGCTGTGCCTGAAGGACTGCACCCTGTGGAAGAGTGACTCGCATTGCAGCAGTTCATGGAGAACTGTCTCCCATGGGAGGGACCCCATGCTGGTACAGGATACTCTTCTCCCTGGGATGAACCGATCATAACCTCCATTCTCTGTCTACTTGTGCTGCTGGCCGAGAGGAGGTGGAACTGGGAAAGAGGGAGGACTGGGGAAAGGTTTTTTAAGATTCATTTTACTTTTCATTATCCTGCTGGGTTTTTTTTAGTAATACATTCAGTTAACATTCCCAATTAAAGTCTGTTTTGCTTATGATGGCATTTGGTGAATGATCTATCCCAGACTCTATCACAACCCATGAACCCTCTTACATTTTTTTCTCCCCTGTCCGCTTGCGGAAGGGAGGGACAGAAGGGCTTTGGTGGGTGTCTGGTATCCAGCCAGGGTCAAATCACTAGGAGAATGAAGAAAGTTCATATTGACCAGCGATAACAGTGGACATTTGTATACAGGCTTGGTGGTAGTTTAGAGGGTTACAGCTTTCATCTTGCTTTGGCTTCTCAGCTGATTTCAGCAGTCCTTGGCAGCTGCTCCTCTTGCTACATATTTGAGTGTAAGCCACCAGGATGGGGCCACAGCCTCGGCAGCCCTGTAAGGTAGTGGTGGCAAAGCCCAGACGGGAGCAGTGTGAGCAGCCTCACGCAGGTAACCTTACAGTCGCAGTGTCCCTTCTAGCTATGTATTTCTCAGCACGAACCATTGCTTGTGAGGGCAAAACCTCTCCCAGAACACCTCCTGAACGCCCTTGTCTCGCCAGCACCCCAGAGCCCGCCGGAGGGAGGGCTCGCTCGGGAGCGCCAGCCCGGGCCGAGCCCGCCCGCGTCCGTCGCCATCGCGACCGCGCCGCGCTGGGCGGGGGTGAGCGAGGGGCCGCGGCCGCCGGGGGGCGCCCCGCGGACGGGGCGGCGATCCGCGCCCGTCCCCTCCCGTCCTACCCCGGCCCGTCCCGTCCTTCCCCATCCCATCCTACCCCGTCCCGTTTCGTCCCGTCCCATCCTGTCCGGCCCGCGCCATGGGCAGCACGCTGCGGAAGAGCCAGGCGGTGCGGCAGGCGCCCGGCGGCGCGCCCCCGGAGCGGCGGCGCCCGGCAGGTAGGCAGCCGGCGGCTGCCCGCGGACAGCGCCCGCCGGCGGCGCTTCGCACCTGGCGGGCTCCGAGGGGCGGGCGGGCGGGCGGAGGGACCGGCTCCGGTTTTCCCGTGAAACAGCCGGCAAGGCGGAGTTGGGGCTCCGGCTCTGGTTTTCCCGTGAAACAGCCGGCAAGGCGGAGTTGGGGCTCTCTCCCGTGCTGGCGGCCGGGCGCCTCGCGGGGTACCGCGCTGCAGAACCTTGCCTTCGGCGCGGTGCCGCGGGTGTCCCGCGGGTGCTGGGTCTGCTCCCAAACACGGGCTCTGCCGCCCGGCTGTCCTCTGAGTGACTTTATCGGGCAGGCTGTGCGCATCGTCCCGCTCACGGCAGGTCAGAGCGATGCTGGGTGTGGTACCCCGTCCTCGGGGACTGCCACGGTGTGGTCTGAAGGATGGCTGTGCAGAGAAGGGAACGAGATTTGGAGTTAGGAACACCATTCGGAGTTTGCTTGGAGTTGAATGGCCCTCTGGTCTATGGACAGGATTTCTGCCTGCCAGGATTGAGGCATCTTCCCACGACAGAGCGGGGAGATTTGTGTTTCAGCTGACTGCTCTGTGCCTTGTCAGAGTCAGAGCTTCGGGCTGAGATGCTCCATGGGCGCAGCATTAACCGTGCTCTCACCTGGTCTATAAAACCCGATGAAAGAAGCTAAATAATGGGCTCGAAGTAATGAAGGCCTGAAAATTAATCTGTGCTTACATCTGGCACTGAGCAGCAGCTCTGCCTGAATGAAAAGGCACTTTTAGGATGTAGTACTTCATTGAACATTTACTACTATAGGAGTGTTTTCAGCTCTACCGCATCCCTGGGAGAGGGGACTGTTTTTAAATGTGTTCTTACACTTGCAATAATTTGAGGACATTGACACAAAACCACTTTGGGAGCTTTAAGGTGTTACATGATATTTTAAGTCTTATTATGAAAGGTGGAAATTGTCAAAACCTTGGCAAACAAAAAATAAAGATGCCTGTGCAGTAAGAATTTGCATAAGGCACAGCAGGAGCTGGCAAATACAAAAATAATGGTTGTAACAGTTAAAACTCTTGAAATAGGCTTATTGTTATGGCTCCATATTGCTTAGATCTTTCAATTATACCAACATTAAATCCTCCAGTCTGAGCATTGGAAGCACTAGATGTTCCTTGATCCTAAGAAGAAGGAATGGGGAAGGAAAAAAAAAAAAAACCAAACAAAAAAACCTCTCAAACCACTGTCTAGAGAGTCCAGTTGTCCTTGTACTTTCAGGACAGTGCTGTGACCTGACAGCAGTTCCCTTACCTAATGCTGCCACCACTTTGTTATGATTTAGAAGTACCTAATTTAGTTTTAAAGCAGACACTGGAATCTGTGCAGGTGTGGTAGCTGGAGTCTGGGGCAGAGTGAGCTGCTCTGGACTTATACCCAAACCTGGTTTCTCTGGCCAACAATCTATCTGCTGGCATAAACTGAGAAATGAAACTTGCATCTCAATGAGCATTTTCAGCATTGTGAAGCTGACTCATTTAGGCTATATGTTGTTTGGGCTTTGGTTTATATGCTCTGCTGTATGTTTGGCTTTTCAATTTAAGATGTTACTACTCCCTGTTGCCTATTCTACAACTTTTGGTAGCACCTTAAAGTAATTCTCCAGGAAAGTTGGTTTAAATTGTGAGACAAGGTTTATGTTTCAGGATCAAGGTAGATTTGCTTCTGGGATAGTTGCTTATGAGTAAATTACTATTGAAACCTAATGTCCATTTCCTAAAGGAACACATGAAAGTTTTAGCATCCATAAAGGACAAGAGATGAGAGGAGTTTTGGGTGCTGTTGAAGAACTTACATAGAAGACTAAAGCAAAAGAATTTACAGAAATTGGAACAGAGATACATAATTTACATTTACATAATTTACATGAAACCTGAAATATAATCAAAATATGCTAATTACTCATTATTTACCTGACTCTGAAACATGAAAAATCTAAAATTAACCCCTTTATACATCTGGTCATACCAAGCAGGATTGTTGTTTTAATATCTATATACGTCCCTTGGACAAACTTATGTGTGTAGTAGGAGAAAGAAACTGGGCTGTTGATAGCTGTAAGAATTTCTTATTTGTTCTCTGGATTTTTTTTCTCACCTTTCCATCTTTTATCAATGGTAATATTAGATTCAGTTATTAATTCATTGTAAGATCTAAAAATGTTTAAAAAACTGAACTGTAGAAAGTTGGCAATGAGCACAACTGGCAAAAAAAATGTTGCTTATCACAGGAAAATTGTAAAAATGTTAAGACAGGGTGCTTATATACAGTTTGCATAACAAAGCTCTTAAATACATTCCCTTGTCTTTACTTTGTGCTTTCAAAAATGTTATTCTCAATCTTCAAATAGCATTCAGTACACTTCAACAATTGCATTTTGCACATGAAGTATTTATGACATTTTGTGAGTGTAAAGGTATGAAAACTAGAAGCAACTGAGAAGGCAGTGATTTTCCTGATTTTTTTTTGTTGTTGTTGTTGTTAAATTATCTCCACACTTACTTAAATTTCTGGATTATAAACAGGTATTTTACTGTAGAAAGGATTAAGGAAAAAATTCAAAGCTGTACAATAAGGGACTGAATTTACACATCTCAGAATTAAGGCAGCCTGGATTGCAGCTTTTGTTTTATAAAACATATCTAACTTGTTATAATGTCAAGTGCTGCTTTTTTTAATTCCAGACTGTCATAGTTGAATATTATGAGGGGCTGTTTAAGTTTGGTTTGACTTTGTTGTATGCTGATGCTGCTCAGTGCTGGGCACTCAGGACACACTCATTAGTGGGCCTGGAAAGTAGACTGGGAATGAAATCTGGGCTGGATTCTACAAAGTCAGTTTAAAAAGTAGTTTTAGCATAACTGTTCCTCATTTTTAGTGTTAATGTGAGAGCCTCTGAATGCAGCATAACTGTGAGATGGAGTAACAGGGGATCCACTTTGGTGGTCCTTGTTCTGTGCTGTAGTACAAACACCAGTGGTAATTAGGTTGTGTTGACATTTACGTGTGGTGAGCGTCACAGTAATGAGGCCCCAAATATTTTTACTTTTGCAGTATTTCCTGGAAATGTGTTGACCATATAATTTACATGTGAGTTGCTCAGGTGACAATAATGGATGTGTCATAGCACTCTTTGTGCAAAAATGTAGAGTGAACTCAAATTCTGGATGTAGCTTAATGGATGCCCATGTATTTCCTCAACCCTTGTTAATAACTGTGCGATCCCCTTGATTTCTGCTGTGAACAGAAATGGTGCTTGGCCTTCAACAGTGTATAGTATTCGTCTCCCTTTTCCAGTCCTTTTTTATGGTTTCTATATTTTCAAAACTTTGGAGATAGAACTCCGTTGCTTATTCCTGTCTGAAGGTTGTTCCTCCATGAAGCCCATCTTAGTCACCCTTTGGAAGGGTGCCTTGTCTCTGTTTTGATTGTGCTTGTAGGAAACAAACCAAATAACAGATAAAATTGTGGACTGGGGCTTACTTAGTATACTGAATTGCTAAATTAGTCTCCTTTTTCTTTACCACTGCTGTCTCCTGAGGATATGATATCTATAATGTATCCCTTGGTTTTGATATCTGTTTTTTTATACCTGCCTATTGTTATGCAACTGCCTTCTAGTTTATAGCTCAACTCATGTATTTCCTGGTTGGTTTTTTCTTTGCTTTGCTTGCTCATTTTTTTCCTCATTCGTACTTTTAAATAACTTCCTTTTCTGAATATGGTGTCACATTGTAGGTCTTCCTTGCAGAACCATCCCCTAACTTGCCTGGTTATATCTGATGCCCTGTCTTTTTCCTTATCTTCAGTTTGGTTTTACCCTCTGGTTTTCTTCGAAAAATTTCACACCTTTTGCTTTCCAGAGTTTATTGCCTTTCCTATGTGTACTCTTTATTCCTTGTAGTATTGAGTATGTAAAGGGATTCATTTATGGTAGACTCTATAGAATTGTGTGATCCCAAATAATTTTTGGCTATTACAACCCTATCTGGCCCAGCAGTGTCTTTTGCATAAAAGAGATACAAATGCAAAGAGGAAGTAAGTAGAGCATGCAAATACTTTTATTTCCATAGAAATCAGTAGTGGCTTAGTCTAGTGTAGCCCTAGTTTTTCTTAAGAATCTGCTAATGAACTGGTTTTACCAAGTGAACAGAGATATCATCTCATTTTCTCTTCTGTTCTAGCAAAGTTGCCTGTTTTGCTTGTTTAGTCAGATGCTCAAGGAAGAAAGAGCTGTTTGACACGGTCACCTCTTTTGTGTCCTGTCATTGCATCCCCAGCATGGTGGTAAGGAAACTCCTAACTTCCTTATCTCCTCTGCTGTTTGCACAGCCTGACACAAAGCAAGCACTTCTCGCTAGCCCTGGCTCACAGGTGTAAGGTATTTGTTGTTTTCCAGCCACCCTTCACAACCGTTCCCAGCCAGACCTTTGTCAGGGCCGGCCGTGTGCACAGGGTTGGTTTGTCCATCGCTTTGGTGGCAGGAGAGTTCAGAGGGCAGTGAGCGACCTGCTAGGCTGTGCTGCTTCCCTCTCTTTGCAGAAATGCTGTGTCATTGCTTGCTGGGCTGCTAAAAGCAGAATTAAATGCTTCCACTCAAGTCCTTTTCTTTTTAAAAGACAAAAATCTTTGATTACTCTGGATTAAAATATCTGGGTTTTTTTCCTTACCTCTTAAAAAAGTCCCAGTTGGGCGGGGCGGGGACATGGAAAATCACAGGTTTCTGAGCCAAGGTACTTTCCCTGGTGTTGTACCTTAAACTTAATGCCCTTTCTGGAAGATTACTTGCAAAGAGCTTATTTTCCTTTAACTGTGTTCAATTTTAATACTGGATTGTTTGACAAAAAAGCCTGATTTTGTCTGAGTTGGTTTTTTCCACCATTTTTTATGTTCTCTATGACTCAAATGTAAGCCTGATTACAAAGAAATATGTGAATGAA